ATCTCTTTTACAATTTTCATTTTAATCCTGTTATAGCTGCTACAGCTATGGTCGGTTTCGAAAATAATACATATTCCGCTACAAAGGCTTAAGCCTTTTTTAAATATTACAAGGGGGAAATTTCACGCTTGACACAAACAGCTGATTGGAAGTGAGACCACAGAAGAATGGGTTAGCAAATGTTCCCCTTAAATCAATCAACAAATTAATGGTATTACAGAGACTTTTATACATATATTTTGTGTGGCGAATAATAAAGTATTAAAAAATAATAAATTTACCGTTAGAATTAACGAAATTAAAAAAAAAAATACAGAAACAATGTTACAAACGGATACAGTTTATTTTGTATGGCAATACTAATTATACAAAGTACCCTGTTGATGATTATTTTTGTCGCAATTTGAAAATTTCAATTCACGTGAGAAGCAAAACAGGAGGGAACTTCTGAGGTGAAGTGTAAAGAACACACCCGTACATATTAACATCCAGCAAGTTCTCAGTACAACAACAATTTCATAACGCTCTCTTTTACTGGTGTTATATCATTAATTTATTTATTATAGGGGCTTTTTATGTCGAAGCCATATATATATATATGTAATGTTTTGAATGAGAAGAAATACATAATTATTTGTAGGATAAATAAGTATCTAAAATATATAAATAAGATGTCCAACAACAATAATGGTCAATGGGAAATTGTAATCTCGAGAAAAAGGTTGTGGCCTACAAAGAAAAGAAGCGCGAAGAAGCACTGAAACCGAAATTAGATGAAATATGTACGTATATAAATGGGTGTTTGTGTGTGCCCATGGTATAATAATAAAAGGTAACAGCAAGTGTTGTTGTACAAAAAACGATACAACAACCACATGGAAATTTGTTGTTGTAAGTTTTACTAGTGTCAACTCATTTGACAGAAAAATGTAAACAAACAAACAAATTATCATCAAATTATTTTTATTTTGAAAATGGAATATTTTCGAATCCTCAAAATAAAAATTGAAAAACATGAATGAAAATCTATCAAATTTATATTTCTATCGCTTCCACATCTTTCCTTTAATTGAGCCAATGCCATATATATGTGTAACACATATGACAATGCTGGGAATATCGAGTAATTCCTTCAAGAAATCACCCAATTTTCCTGTTGGGTGATTTTTAAAAACATAATTTGTCAAATTCATATTGACACTATTATTACGTTGGAATCAAATCAGCTGGGATTTGCTGTTACCTTTTATAATTGTACCATGGTGTGTGCCCATATTCTGATAAGTTGTAAACAAAACAAATGGTCTGTTCCCGTACTGCAAGAATCTACTACTTTTTACTACGATAACAAATTTACCTTTACGATATCGAAGAAAATTGTAAAATCGAGTAGATTCTTGCAGTACGGGAACAGACCAAAAGAGTTATTATTTTTCCTTTTAGTTGGAAATTGAATTAATATTTCTCTACATTCCGTTACTGAAAGTGCACAAAGGGCAAACTATTATTGTGTGTCCATTCAATGTCGCTTATTCGACGGATTTTAACGGCCTCCAGAAACCTGTTTATTGTAATCAGCCGGCAGTTTTTATTAATTCCAAAATGAAATAATATCATTATTTTCCGAAATAATTTTGAAACATTAATAGGGGAGGAAGATTTCATGTTCATAATAATTCCGTATTCATACAACTAATATTCGCATTCGATTTTGGGAGGAAATCTAATTATTTTTTGCGTTAGGAGTGTATTTTGGCTTTTAATAAATTTAGATTTTAATTAAAATGTAAACCCTTCATTACATCAGCTGTTTGTGTCAAGCGAGAGATTCATTCGGAAAAATGCTACACAAACCTTAGTATCCATTTAAAATTGGTATTTATTGATTATTTCATCTTAATTTTGTGATTTTAAACTAGTTATACGCAATTAAAGAAATTACTCAATTATGGATGCAAAATTTAATTGCAATGGGTTAATTTTAGTGATTTTCGATTAGATATGAAGCACCTTAAAAAAAACTATCAAAACATAGCAACACTGTTATGTATGGTTCAGTCTGCTATCAATATTGCTGACAAAACAAGAAGAAGATAAATCTTTACGTTGTTGCATTTTTATGAGACTTAAATTAAACTCGATGAATGTATTTCATCATCTCAATATTCTTTATTCTGAAATAGGGATACGTAGTCGAGCGCAAAAGTCGACTTTTAGAATTTTCACTTTTTGTCCCAGATCAAAAAGTCGATTCTAGACTTTTCAATTGGTGTGTTCCCGTACTGCAAGAATCTACTATTTATTTACTACGATAACACTTTTTTCCTTTATGATATCGAAAAAAATAGTAGAAACTCGTAGATTCTTGCAGTACGGGAACAGGCCAAATTTTTGCCTTTGACTAAAAAGTTTTTTCGATTTTGTCAACCTGTTCAATATCGATTTTGACTTTTACCGAAAAATGTAAAAAACGACTCAAATTTTATTTTTGATATAAATTGTTGGCAACATATATAATTGTTGGCATGTTATCATATGCCAAGATTTTATGAAGAAAATCGAAAGTCGATCTTGAAAAGTCAAATTCGACTTTCAAAATGAAAATAGAAAAAGTATATTTTTAATAAAAATAATAGTATGTGTGTAAATCGCACATATTGATTTACTTATAAATATATAAAATGAGATAAAACGTCGTTAATTACGACCGTGCCAAATATTTTGGTTCTTAGCGAATAATCTTGCGATCTATATAAGGAGCATAGCAAAAAAGTCGATTGTGTTTTCCAACGATATTTTGCAACCCATAGGCAACAAGGAATAGTAAATTACATTCACCTTTGAAGGCAAATTTTTATAAAATTTAAAAAAAAAATGAGGTTGGTTTCCTTATATTGGGGTCACCTAGAAACATAGAACCCAAAAAATCAAATTACAGCCAATTCGGTTGCAAAACGTGTCCAGAAACCCTAAAGATACTTTTTGATGGAAATCTGTTAACCAATTAGTACTCAAAATATAAAATAACAGATACTTCGTTTGGAAAATGTGTCTAAAAATTCTGAAAATACCATTTATTTATTTTTTTATTTATTTATTTTCAAATTGATGATGCCTAGTCTTTCGACCTTAAGGCGGTAAACTAAATTAAAATGTTAAGTAACACAGTTTAATAACAATTATAATAAATTAAGCTTTAAGGGAGGTTTGTTTAAGTTTTGATAAACTACTCAAAGTAGCTCTCTTAAGCTCTCTTAAGGGTTAAGCAGAATGCTCGCGTTGAGCCATCCGTCGCGTTATATCCAATCGAAAATACAACAACCACAACTAAACGATAACACAAACGCATATCGTATTCTTGTGGTTGTTGTATTTTCGATAACATATAACACGACGGATGGCTCAACGCGAGCATTCTGCTTAGCCCTTTAAGGGCTATCGTTTCCTTGTGGTTGTTGTATTTTCGTATAACGCGACGGATGGCTCAACGCGAACATTCTGCTTAGCCCTTTAACATATTTATAGTTAATTGGAAATATTAACAATTTAGGGATCGGAACTACTCAACACTACCATTTTCTAAACATTTCACAGAAATTTCATAAAATTTATTATTTTTTTTAATTTAAAAAGAAATAGATGACATAAAAAGAACATAAATTTTATAGATGACAGCCAGTTAAAATTGATGACTGTCATCTAAAATAGAGGACGTATGGCCACCTTATTAAAGATCAAAAGTCGACTTCGACTTTTCAATACAAAAAGTCGATTAGTCGAAAATCGATTTACTTATCCCTATGAGTCTAAACGCAACCATAGAGTCTAGAGTCAGCGACAGTCGTTTGCCGTGTGTTTCTTATAGGCAACGGGAAATCGCGAGGGCTGACGTTCGCGTCTAGCGGCATGACGCTAGAATAGATTTTATTCATTTTTGCTCAGCGTCATAGAGTCTAAACGCAACCATAGAGTCTAGAGTCAGCGACAGCCCTTTGCCGTGTGTTTCTTATAGGCAACGGGAAATCGCGACGGCTGACGTTCTCGTCTAGCGGCTTGACGCTAGAATAGATTTTATTCATTTTTGCTCAGCGTCATACTCAAATGTTCTCTCTTGCTCTCAGTTGAGTTGCCATATTTTAAGTAAAAATGAACAGTGCTACCAAATTTCAATGAGAATCTATATCAAAATATATGGCAGTGCTGTTAAAAAACAAATATTTTCAAAGATTGTGGACGTTTTTTGAACGAATTAATAATAAAATGGAAGAAAAATAATTTTTTCAATAATTTTATCCAAGTTCCTTGACATTATTGTCTATTAAACAATAAATTGAATTTTGTTTGCACAACGTAAAATTTTCTGTCAGAAAATAAAAACATATAATTGACATTTTGTGCCGCTAACGCCAACTCTTTCGTTTGGTTTTCACGCCGGCGAAAAAGTATGACGCTGACTCGTGACTCTCTGGTTGCGTTTAGACTCATACTCATTATTTCTCTCTTGCTCTCAATTGAGTTGCCATATTTAGGTAAAAATCAACAGTGCTACCAAATTTCAATGAGAATTTATATCAAAACATATGGCAGTGCTGTTAAAAAAAAAAACAAATATTTTCAAAGATTGTGGACTTTTTTTAACGAATTAATAATAAAATGGAAGAAAAATATATTTTTCAATAATTTTCCCCAAGTTCCTTGACATTATTGTTAATTAAATAATAAATTGATTTTGGTTTGCACAACGTAAAATTTTCTGTCAGAAAATGAAAACAAATAATTGACATTTTGTGCCGCTAACGCCAACACTTTCGTTTGGTTTTCACGCCGACGAAAAAGTATGACGCTGACTCGTGACTCTCTGGTTGCGTTTAGACTCTATTCTCAAACACCGGTCATAATTTATTCGCTGGCTGTCAATTAGTCAAGTGCATTTCTTAAGTTTTTTTTTCCGATACATTTCTATTGCATTCCATAATTATAAATTCCAATCTACTTCAAAGATGTCCAACAACAATAATGGTCAATGGGAAACTGTAACAAAATCGAAGAAATTTAAAAATCTCGAGAAAAAGGTTGTGGCCCACAAAGAAAAGAAGCGTGAAGAAGCACTGAAACCGAAATTAGATGAAATATGTACGTATATAAATGGGTGTTTGTGTGTGTCCATATTCTGATAAGTTGTAAACAAAACAAAGAGTTATTATTTTTCCTTTTAGTTGGAAATTCAATTAATATTTCTCTACATTCCATTACTGAAAGTGCATAAAGGGCAAACTATTATTGTGTGTCCATTCAATGTCGCTTATTCGACGGATTTTAACGGCGTCCAGAAACCTGTTTATTGTAATCAGCCGGCAGTTTTTAATTAATTCCAAAATTAAATAATATCGTTATTTTCCGAAATAATTTTGAAACATTAATAGGGGAGGAAGATTTCATGTTCATAATAATTTCGTATTCATACAACTAATATTCGCAATATCTGTGTAATGATGCACCAATTGTTGTAAATGATGCCACATCAGCAATTGCTGTAATAAAACTAGAGTTGTTTTTTCTGATACACAATCAAATATAAGCAAAGTTTGAATATTTTATACTAAATTGTGTAACCTCTGTTTCATTTATGATTTTTTCCCTAAACAAATAGGGGGTTTGTGCTATTAGTAAAACAATTTCTTGTTAATGGCATAAAAATGTAATGTCGAATTTTATATGAACGATATATGTACTTTTTAAAAATAGGGGGCAAATTATATTTCTGGGCAACAGGTTATTACATATTGTGTATTATGAGTTTTAATATATATTATTTTTATTTTCAGTGCCTTCCCTTCAAATTCGAAAATTGCTCAATGAACGCGGCAAGGCTAGTAGCAAAGATGTTTCCCCTTCAAAATCAAATACAAGTACGAAATCGAAAACATCAACGCCCAAAAGAACAGTCACCAAGAGTAAAGATCAAACTGATACAAAGAAAGCGAAATCCGACCAGCCCAAACAGCCACCAAAGCCGAAAAGTTTGGACCAAGCTTTTAAAGCATTAACTCCAAAAGATTTTACTATTCAATTAGAACATTTCCAATTGTTATATCCCGGTGCGAAATTAACTTGGTTAAAAGCGGTAAGTTTAAAAAGCCGTTTAATCTTATTTTTGTGATATTTTAATGTTATTTGTTGTGGTTTTGATTTCAGATAACCGGTTATATAAATTCGAATTTACAATTTGAATGTGATCCTGTTTTTTCTGGACGCTCTACATCATATCCTGGAAATTTAGCTTCATCCGAATTTAAACAAACATTAATTGACTTCTTGTCATCGGAGGGTGAAGAAAATCTAAATTACTTTTTCCATTATACTCTATTGGAGAGTATGTGTACTGATTTAAATAACAATTTACCTGTTGTAGGGTACAAAGTAAGTCAATGATATTCAAATTTATATTCATTTATATATGTTAAATATGGTAGTCAAATGACTACCAGATTTAAAAGGAGTTTTGTAAAATTCGAAATAATATAAAGTTATAGTAGGTTTACATTGTATCGGATTTATTAAATACAGTAGATCTTATTGTCAATTCCATTACCTATATGTCAAATAAATCCTCATAGAGGAGGTTAACCCGGCTAAAAGTTCTAATGTAAATGTAGTGTTATAAAAAAACAGTTTATCGATTTAAAACTAAATATGAATGTTCGTTTCGACTATTACCAGCCATTTCAGGTTCATTTCTTCAATAATATTTAATTCAATATATTTGTATACTTATCGATATTTATTTTATCTTTCCAGTTTATGTTACAATTAATTGCTAGAAATTGGCCACAAATTTGTTCCTCAAATATGGCCAGTACCGCAATGCTAAAACATTCCTATCAAAATCGTAGCAATATCTGCTTAAGTATATTGTGGGCGATAGGTCAAGGAGGCTATGAAAATCTGATGGTGGGCATAAGAGGTAAGCTGCAATTTCATTATGCAAAAAGGAGACTGACTAATTTGTAAATTTCTATATTTTTTGTTAGTGTGGCAAAATTTAATGCTTCCAAATTTAGAGATGAAAAGTTACTCTCGCTTTGTAACCGAGTACATTGAAAAGATTTTGAATGTGGCCACGGATCAAAGGTATGTATTTTATTTTCATACAAATATACCAAATGTTAACAATAATTTCTTTTCATTTATTTTATCTCCTTAGAATACAATTGAATCAAAATGAGTTCTTTGAAATATATAATGCTTTGAAGGCTCACTATCCTAGTTTACCCCGAGATTGCCAACAATCTTTAGTTAGAAGTTCGGAAATGTTTTTGGTATGTGTTTTAATTCTTTTAACAGAAATATTTGTTATTAATATTTATTCTTCAAATATAGCAAAAATTCATTAGGAATTGCAATAAACATGCAAATCTCTTCCTTACACTCCTACGCAGTATTGAGAATCCTACTAAGAGCAGTATTGAAACGAATGGTTGCCTTTCGTGTCTCTTACATAGTGATGAGGACTGTTTTAAGGTGTGGAAAATGAATTACAAAAAACAGTTGTTACCCACCATTTATTTGTTACAAAAAATTGGTATGTTCACATACTGTCTGTTAAGAGAAGATATTGGATTACATTTTATTTATTTTTAGAATATGAATTAGCTGAAAGTGCTTCATCATTGGCAATGTCTTCTGCATTCCATGATTTTCTAAAAGATGCTGTACAATTGAATGCTGAGTTGGATTCGGCTAAAAAGCGCGACCCAAATCTGGATACCTTAATAGCTCTAGTTGCGGTAAGTTTTTATTAAAGTATATGTTTTAATTATTGTGAATTTGTTGCCTTATTAAATTGCTGTTGTTGTTGCCGTTTGGTGCAGGAGGGAATATTTATGAACTATGCATTGTATATGGTATTATTACAATATACTCTCAAACCTATTATGTTCTGATATTATCTAAAGCAAGGGAATTTCTTAATCATATTTAGCGAAGTTCGGAGTAGAGGCTCTGTACATATTTTCCTGCTTACAAATAACTGAATACTGATGGAAAACTCTAAAACTAAAATGAACAAGCAATGGGGCAGAACGATTTAATTCTAAATACGACAGAGCAGCGTCTAACAGAAATAAAGATTTTTAAATATTGTATCGTAAGGGCACGAAGTTGATCGTATATCAGGAAGCGGTCAACTTGGCCCGACCACTTAAAAGTGCGTCAAGGTCAGAAACTGTGAATGTAAGGGTAATAGTTTTTATCCTCCTCGGTAGAGGTTTAAACTGCCTGTCGTATCGGTTCGCGAGATACCGTTAGAAAGTTTGCTTGTCTATGAATAATAATGGTGGGATATATTTCGGAGAAACGTTTTTAAATGTCTATCGTTATATCGTAAAAAGCCAATGTACGTTCAAGATCTAATTTCGAATTTATTGTCCGTGACTTTATTGGCTTTAGAGCCGCATTGATATCCACATATATGGTCGCAGATTCCAAACACTTATCCCAAGCTCTTTGGCAAGAACGACTATCTACATGATAGCTAGCATCCATGCAGTGAATATAATCGAATTAGTATATTTAAGATAACGCTAATAATTCAATTAATAGATTATTCAACATTTAATACCACATTTCTTCTACTTAGGAAATAACACGATATTTTGTGTGGAAAAAAGGTTGTAGTTTTTAAAATTTCAGTATTATATTAGGATTGTACGATAATTTTTCCAGTAAAAATTACTCAGTAACTTATGTTGAAAGAACTTGCTAGCTCATGTGAAATTATTGAAAAATCTTTGTTATTTGAATTTTGCGTGTGAGGGCAGTGATCATTTGAATGATTAATTATCCATCGCTACAACAAAAAACTGATTTGAAAAACGACTGTTTTTAGAATAAAGACAAATTTCGCACCTTGACAAATTTGAATTTAATTCGCATATGCAAGTTCGCATCAGGGCGAAATAAATACAAGTTATCAACATACGACCTTTGTAAAGTCACATAGCCCAATATGCCTGATGAGCCGCTTCACCAACGGCCACTTAACCACTCATTTACTGAAATTTTAAGTTATCAAAAAAATTCAGTAACTATTTCTACAAATTGTTACAAATTATTGGACTGGATTGAATTATTGTCAAATAAACCTATTAATATAAAATATTGATTTAAACGTATTAGGCTTTGTTCCTTGCATATGTCATGCACATGTCATATTTGACATATCTCCAATACTTTGGTCCATGTAAATGTATTTCTGCCGGTCGTCACTGTTTCTCATATTTGACATATCGCCGAGCCA